TGATTCTAAGCTTTTTTGTCGTTTAAGCCGATTCGCAACCGGGTTATCCATCCTCGCAAAGATTGGTGCACATCGAGGAAACCTTCGTCTGGCTCTCCTGCAAATGTAGAGTGGTGAAGTTGCGTGCATGATGGCAAATGCGTGGGCAGAACGCCACCATTTATGGTAATGCTCGACGCAAGTTTTTGCGAGTACTTTTCATGCATAGAGCGTGTTCTCTAGTGAACTTGAGAAAACAGTGATCTAAAATGAAATGGGGCTGGCCTGTTTATCTTTAAGCAGATTGCACTGTATGAAGTTGCACTTGGATCACGTAAAGTCTAGCAATCAAATTCGGTCTGCAGCTTCAAGAAAACTTTGTTTTAACGTTTGTTGTTTCAAAAGGCGGGAATATTATGTTGCAGCTTTGCGTCGGGCAGAACTCTCACCTTTGTACGTAAATTATACGCACGCGTAATGAACTTATAAAATTTGTTAAATAATTTGTAACCTATTTGTGTATTTCTGTGGTCTTAATTATTCAAAATGGTTTTATTTATCGATCCACACTAAAGTCTCTGTTGTTAATACTAGTTAGGCTCTAATAATAAACGACATGGTTACTCTGGCTTTTTTTTTGGCCCGACTTCGGGTGCGTTTTAAAGTCCACCCAACGCAACCCTGTGTGTCTTATCCACTTTGAGATTAAACGAGCATGCCAGAAGTCTTACCGGAAGCAAGTTGCACAAAATTGAGGCGAATTCACCAGTAGTTCTGCATAACTACTAGATAGTGCCATTTCATTTGTGATTTAGCGTTCATTATGGACGCAGCAGTATCCGAGATTCTGTTGAACATTCCTCACGTCAGTTTTAAGAACCGAAACACAACCAATCAAATTTCTGGTGCGTATTTTATTCCTCGCCTCTGCAGTCCTCCTGTAGTGTTTTACGGCTCTTTTGTGTTCCTAAGAGATTTTGTGACTGGCCAGCTGGCCTCACGATGTGCAGAAGCCAGATTGCCTAAACTTTTATTACGAATAATTACACTATAAGGTGTTTTTTCTGAACACAGACCCATGATTTACAGGCCAGCAGTAATCCAATGAAGCTCTTGTTACGGCAGTCTTAAAACTCGTATAATCTAGTGGAAAAATGTGAGTGAGTCGTAGGGAATAAAACACGCGCATTGAATTTTTTACGCATCTTTATGCGGATGGGTACGGAGAGCAACGTCTCCCTCCCTTTGTTATTCTAAAGGCGGTCACCAAGGCCAGCTCTTTTCAGAAACCATAGCCACGCACAAATCGCTTTCGGTCTAAAGACATATGCAGTTATGGTCAAGTTACCACGGTTATCGAGAACGATTTCGAGACAATTTTATTTGCCTTCAAAAAAATTAAGCAGCCACAAGAACCAGGCAAAGGCGCTGGTTCTTGTGGCAAAGGCGCTGGAAAAGAGATGACGAGGAAGAATGTATTGTAACAGAACAGCCCATTGGGCTAGTTGGTAGCGGTTCATTATGGAGTATATAAGTGGGGCGCAGTACTTAACACGCTTGTGTTGTTCTCTTCTCCAGTCCATGTTAAGTACTGCACCCTACTTCTACTTTCCACGATGAGAAAAAAAGTCACAGCTTAGCCGCAAAGGCGAAGCAACGAACGCGATAGCAACAAATTTGAAGGTCACGCGAAGAATGCCAAGCAGATCGAAATGTGCCCCGCGTTGCTCACGCAAATAAGTGCCTCAGTTGTTACTTTACTGTGTCTGAAAAGCGCGCACTTTTTGCAAATTGAGACTGTGCAGCGAGTGTAGCGACCTTTGTGTGCCCGGTAACTACAACAGAATTGTTCCGGTAAAAGCCCAAGGCGTACGATTCTCCTCAGCGCGAGATAAGCATACGCACGCGTGAGCGTCTACCTCTCCTCCTCTTTCCACGAGGCAAAATACACGTGGAAGATGAGAGCACGCGCCGCCGCGTCGTGAGGATCTGGCGATGCTAGGGTGTCTCTATGTGCACGCCTCCAGGCATCGAGGCAATATAGGTGACGCGCGCTCATTGCGCAATCTCGCTGGTAGTGCTGAAAACACGATAGCTCTCCCTATATGGCCATCGCCAGCGGTAAGTGATGGATATAAATAGTTTGCCATTTCAACATTGATGGAGGTGCCCCTTTGTGGCTCTGTGGCTAACATCTCGCACTCGCAAGCAAGAGGTAGGACGTTCGATTCCATGCGCCGGAGTCTTTTATGGGCGAAGCTCCTCTTAGTCTAACCTTGTCCTGCGTGTGACATAACCAAGACAATGAGAGACGAGAAATCGAGAGAACAGACGAGAAAACAGGAAGGCAGTATCTCTCGAACAGTATAATAAACGGCCCTGTCTCATGGAAGTACATACAAACTGCAGTTGAGTGAGGTTATTCTAGATGGCGCTGTACCACTACTGTCTTATTGGCTGCTGCGCGGGTCGTGTCTGGGTGCGATAGTCTCCTAGATATACGCCGTACCTAGCGGATCGTTGGTGGGGCTTTGACGAATCAGAGCTGCGGGTGCGTTGAAGACGCTTGCGCTCAGATTCTTTGGCTAGCGTCTCGTCGGTGTTACCCGCGCGCCGTCTGCATTCTCGAACGCGATAAGACGCGTGGGTGCATGTATATACGCACGGACGGACGCATGGAAGTACGGACGTTTCGCCCCACTCATCATTATTCACTCCGTGGTAAGGCTGTGATTGTTTTCTAAATTGTTTTAATTTCTTGCGTTTTCAAATGTATAGTTACGTATGCATATATAGTCAATGATGGCGAGGCCAGCGGCTAATTGTAGCTGAGAGGGTCCATATAATTGCTATCGCAATAAATGACGTAATTAGGCCCCACCTGGTCGGCGCGCGCGCACGTAGTCACTCAGCTGAGGGAAGCCGTCAAGCAGGTCGACAGGCAAAGGATGGCTGTAAAAAAAAAACGTCACGTGAAGAGCTCAGGGGCGCGTGAAGAGTTCGGTGTTACAGGAGGTTCAACTACCACGTAGGGAAGGCATGGGTCGTACGAACTGCCGAACAGCCAAACAACTTTCCAAGAACAGCGCTGACAGCTGATCCATGTGATATTTCATGTTAGCCGGGCTGATGCAGCAGCCAGGAACAAGAACAGGACCGAATGGCCAAATGCGAGCAGTAACTGCGCACCGAATATCCGGCAGTCTTTCACGCTGAACGCAAGCGGACAAATGGCGTTGTAGGCAGTGAAGTGTCAACGAGGCAATCACGGAAACGCGTTCGCAGGGGCTGACGCCCGCTTTCGACGGGAGTGTCTTTAGCGCCTTCGGCTGCGACACGTGCAACCACCAGGGGCAGCAACTTTCAGCTTCATCTGTACGGAGTGCTTGATACATACATACATACATACATACATACATACATACATACATACATACATACATACATACATACATACATACATACATACATACATACATACATACATACATACATACTACATACATACATACACACACACATACATACATACATACATACATACATACATACATACATACATACATACATACATACATACATACATACATACATACATACATACATACATACATACATACATACATACATACATACATACATATAACTTTATTTGAACACCAGAGGGACTAGTTGAACGAGGTCCTAAGGCTCCCTCAACAAACCGGCGGCTCCACCCAGGTCGGCACAGGAAGGTGAAGACCATCCGCGATGTCCCGGGCCCTCCGGAAAACTGGAGTGCTTGGTCAAGATCTTTTTTTTTAGTGGACCACTGGTTAGCAGTGGGATATACCTATTCTGGCATGTAACTGGTATTATGATGAACCATCACTATACATGACACACCGTGACAACATGAGACGCCGACAAGCCTAGTCCACGAGTAGCTTCGCACCTAAAACAACGGCAACAGCAACAACAACAACAATATTATTATTATTAATATTATTAATATAACAATAATATAATAACCCTAAAAAGAGAACCGCACTCCCATCCAAAAGTTACATGTCTATATGGCAATGCTGTAGAAGGGGCCTTGTAGTTTCTTCTTCAGCAAATGCCACAAAACACTCAGGCAACCCTTTAAGAGAAACGAAGAGTTCAGGTAAGGTATATTCGCGTCAGTGAACTTGTCCTCTTAAGGGCGTAGAGCTTCAGAGGCTAAACTTGCCGTTCATCCACAGATTAAGAGGCATGATCACGCCCAAAACGGGCTTAAAATAAACAAGCGAGATCTAAAATATTATTAACAGAAAGCCAAGAATTGATCGCAATAATTGAATTAAAATCACTAAAAATATTTCGTGAACAGGTGTCTGACACCCCTGCCACAAAACAGAGGGGGCTGCAGCCAAGCAAAGTGCGCGATAACTTTTCTTACTGGCGCTTAGTCGCTATCGCTACTACTGATAGGGGAAACATTCTGATAGATCTCGCTGCAGACGACACGTCTCTCAACAGCCTTATAAAGAAGGAAGTCAGTAAAAAGCTGCAAAAGGTAGCGTGCTCACACGCATGTCACATATGCATGTCACATACCGAGTTTGAGAGTCTCCCTAACAGGGTTCTGCGCGTACTGGGGATGCCCTTCATGCTCACGTTAAACATTCACATTATCGACACTTGGGTAAACGGAACCGTGGGAACTCTATATGAACGAGAGTCACTCCTGGCCACACAACACCGTTTCTCATGATTTACAGTAGTGGAACTGCATTTAGCGCAGGATTTTGGCCGACACCGATCGTTACAAAAGAACAACATTTGTTTCAACGTCTCGTACCTGACAAAGTGAGCGCGGCCTACTCAGCTAGCCAAGCAACGCAATTTGCGATAAAAGAAAACACGCTTATTCCGCAACGTGCGTAAGCGATAAATGCGTGGCCACATAATTCTCCACCATCCATCTCTTGCAGTGGATTGTCACTACGCATGCTGGCGTTGTCGATTACATTTACTATACGAGTAGCTGAACTTACGTTCACTGTTGTGTGCTGCCACTTGGACGAGCAGGCGGGCGGCCAAGTCTACTTTTTGCCGCAGCAGCTCGGCGTGTGTCTCCGGCAGCTCGACATCTACCACGTGGAATGACTCGGTAGGGGCTGCTGTGTCTGCTGGGAAGGAGCTGAAGCCCGATGTGCTGTCGCACACCACTGATTCGACACTCTCCAGGCGCTCCTCCGGGGTCGACGCAGAGGTGGCGTGCCGCGACACCCGCACCGCCGGCCGCTCATCGTCGCCGGCTGGTCGTTGGCGCTGTGCGATTTTACATGCGAGACCAATGCGCTATACGTGCTGTTCGCAATGCATAGTACGATACATTACACAATACCGCATACCTTACTGCCCTCGTTCGGCAGTGAGAGCTATGTATGCATTCCTCCAATGACATCCGGGAACTCGAGTCATTCACCATGTTGCACTCAGAGCAAAATCGATGCACTTATCTTCATTGGCTCAAAATTTCTTACACTGATAGAATCATGCTCCCAAGTTAATTTTTGTAATATTTTTATTTTAATTTACCTTTGTTTTAAATGCGAGAAATCCTATGCAAGACAATATCTACCTAAAGACTGTTACTTCAAGAGCCAAAGCCACTGTCATGAGACAGCCCATTCACTACCTCGTTATGAACACTCGCAGAACCAAACCTCCATGGATGTGACCACCTGCGCTGCCTGAGAGCCGGACAACTAGTGTTCGGCTCAGTCACAATCATATAGCGCTCTACAGTCATACGCTTTGCAATGTAAATGCAAGGAACCCATTCACCTATTTTCTTATTAACCTAGCGCAATTCTTAGTCAACATAACCATTAAGAGGTGAAAAAAAATGCAGTATAAGGCACAATCAGCTTTCCGGTGTTTTTTTTTTTGTTTTTAAACATACCTTAAGCTCTCTCACTGCAACAAAATTACACAAAATTATGAACACCCGAACTAAGCTTCTTCACGAATGTTTCGTTAAGCACAACATGACGACGTATAGTAGAAGTTCTCCTGAGCATGACGAAACTTCTGGTCCCGTGGCCGACTGGAGTTTTACAGTCACACGCTTTGAAAGCATTAACACGTTTCTTACAAGACAGCGCAATTCCTGACAAGTACTAAGAAATAACGAACTTTCATTTGTATATCACATGTACTTATTATGTGCAATATTATGTGACACCCATCATATATGGGTGTAAGTGAATGACGTGTCAACTATATGTACACACGAGTGAATACATCTTCATAAAGACATTTGCTCTGCTGTTTTGTGCTGGTTCGACCGATTATTAACGAGGGACATTATTAGAGACGTGATTCGTTGACTTTTAAACATTTGCTTACCATTTTGTGGAGATATGTGCGTATAAGTGTGTCTTTGCATATCTGTGCCCGAGTGTTCTCTTTTCCATGCACTGCTTCATATGATTTATTTTAAGATACGTGTTCAAGTTTCACTAAAGGGCTAAAGAGTAGCCGGAACCATATTTGGGCGCGAACATCTCCCTATATATCATATCAGTAAAAAGAAGGTCTCCTGGTTTATTTATGCTTGCTACTTTGAAGGCATTCACAATTTTTCACGCGTTCACACATGCATCGAAATCCTCAACTGTCCTATGTATGCGTTGAACGCAGGCACAGCGCGCGCTGCTACCGACCTGGTATCGAAGGATGCGAGCACGGTGCTTGCAGTGTAGGCAGCCGGAGCCGAGGGCCCAGAATCCGAGAAGGGCGATGCACAGCAGGGCCTGGCGGCGGCCCGACATCAGCGCATTGTGCGCCTATGGCGCCGCCCTCACTGCAAGGCCGGCCTCAGCGCTGCTGCACCTGCTGCTGCCAACACAAAAAGGTCCACCGGGAAGCAGGAAAAAGAGGATAACGCTGACGTCAACATTATATCAACTCAGTCTTAAGATTGCGTAGCACTATAGTCAGTACATTTAGCACGACTTAAAAAAGAAAGGAAGAACAGGGGGAAGGGAGGGATAGTTTTCGGATCAGCTGGCTTAACCACGAAAGGGAAATGACGAAAATAAATAAAGGATAATATAACGACACCCTTCTAAAACAGAAAAAGCGAAACAACCCAAATGACGAAAACAACAAAAAGAGAACATCACGCAGCCTATATTGTTTGTTTGCGAGACCGCTTGTTCTTAAAGGAACCGACAACCGATTTCTATCGGCCCATTTTTTTACAGCCCGACAAAAAACTGACCCTTCGTAGTGTTTGTACTTGCAGTAGTTAATCTTTAAAGTACGTAGTTATTTTACAAGCAGTATTTTCTGATCTGGCAGTCCCTTAACACAGACGTACCTTTCCTTCAGCTACACCGAGAATTGATTGCGATGCCTCCGATTTCTGAAAACTGTCGTCGTTATAATTTCGCAGGAGTTCCTGTAACTATGTTCAACCACGTTTATTTTGAGCTTTTAAACTATTTTTGAAAATAACAATCTGTTAAAATGGGATAATGTGGAATTATACACGTAATTACCTGTTTTTGTACCACGTTGTGTGCGCCTACGTCCAACGTTACCTGTATCATGGGTGGCTTGTCCCGGCGTCGTTACTGTTTTGATACGTGAGCAGTATTCAAAAACGTCACTAAGCATATGCAAAGCCATCCCAAGCAGCAGTGCACGTCATTTCTGAGCTGAAGAAGAGGTAGCAAAATTTGCAGAGACCTGAAAACTTCGAGCACGTAGGCATAAGCACGCTGAAAAGTTGCTCAAGATGCACTGGCAAGGACGGGGTCATTACGTTGTCGAGGAACGAGAGACAAGAAGGCGGCGATGAGGCCATGCTGGGGCCGGAGCTTTTATTTGGGACACGGGTGTAGACGGGGTCGCAGCTTCAGCGTCCAGCCAGGCCAGGAGCTAGGCCGTTGTGTCCTGCACGTGGCTCGCACCTCACGAGCCAGGCGGCTCTCTTCTTAAGCGCGGCAGCTGGCCAAGACTGACGCGATGCTATACAACGTCACGCGAAGTCAGCACCACGTTAATGCGTACTATTAACGCGGCCATATTCGTACATTTTTATGGAGTACTTGATATATTTTGAGATAAAGAACCAAAGGACGCACTAAAAGAACGTATACAGAGGACAAGCGCGAAGTAACATCTATCACAGCTTACGACTTAAAGCACGCTGCTCAAGCACAAAGAATGCATCAAAAGAACCCACAAGTAAGCACAGGACAAGGACGAACAACAGTTACAACTGTTATTATTTGTGTGTTTGAAGCGTGCTGCTTTCGCAAACGCGGCCGCAGCAGCGGGTGAAGTTGCCTTCGATCTGTCTCTCACTTGAACTCAAAGTTTATGTGAAAACACAGAACGTACAATTCATCTGCTTTACGAGATAAATGTGTACGTACGAGATACCACGCCCTGGAAATTTGCGTGCGGGGCGATGAACTTAGAACGCGTCCTCTACGCCGTTTGAGTCATCTCGCTTGTGATAACAAGAACACGCTGAAACGAACGATATATGAGTATTACCATCAGTAAACAGTGTACATAACTGTAATGGTGTTCGCCGTAATGACGTTCGCTAAATAACTTGCGTTTTGTGGCCGAGTGGACTCGCGCCTCTCGCTGCGGAGCGAGGAGTCGTATATGTTCTCCTCCTGGTGACAAATTTTTTTTGTAAATTTTTCTTTGCCAGCTCTGAGTGTATATTTGACAAACGTCACATCCATCACAGAAATACGTCGCTGTAGCTATTTTGGACCCGAACATAAAACAATTTCTCGCTAAAAGCTAGGTAATGTTGAATAACTGTACCCAACGCGATCTCACTATTGTTGGTTTAAGCATCTCACGTGCTTTCACGAACAGAAAAAGCTTGCATTTCTAATACATTACGGCTCTTAGCACATCGTCCCGAAACGCAGATTCGCACTGGCTTTGGGACGCACAACCAGTTTTACAGATGGGATTATTGAACCTGTATTCAACCTGTTACTATAGTAACAGTACTCATCCTGACGCATCAGCTCTATCCCACTTAGATTTTAAAGCTAAAAATGCAGGACGCTTAATTTTCCCTTCAAGAGGGGAGCAAAAGAGCGTAATCGCTCCTAATTCGCATCGCCTTCTAATTCACTTTCCCCTCTAATGCACTTTTCCCGTGAACACCTCAACGAAGCCGCAAGAAAACAAACGCCTTTTCGCGTAAAATTAACGTTTTCTTTTTTTAGAGCAAGTACTGTTTTGATGTGCCCACTGCGACACAAGTTTTCCTTTGCGCATTAAGCAAATTGGCGAACTACTCACTACACCTCCTTAAGACACCACACGCACCTGCGCAAGTGAACACGTTGTCGATGCTGTTGCTCAGAATGATTACAATATGTGCGTGTGCTTTGTATTTGAAGCGCCGTTTAACCAAACACTTGCGGCTAAAATCACACGTTTTGACACCAGGCCCTATTCCACGCTTCTTTCACAGCAATATTACACGCATTAGGTTCGAAGCTCCTCGCACTACATGAGATAGTCTGTTTTTTTTTTTCATAACCCTTTCGCGCTTGAGCGAATCTGTTGACTGATTCCTGATTTCCACGCAGAAGTTCTGCGATCAACAGCCACTCAAACAGAATAGCATTCATTGTTTCTTTATTTGCAGTCTTCCTAAACTTCCGCTGCCCTGCCACGGTTGTCTGACACTGGCTAGGGTACTTGGTTTCTGACCCGCAGGTTGTGGCATTCGCGAATCCCGGCTGCATTTTTATGGAGGCGGAAAGGCTGTAGACCCGTGTGCTCAGATTTCGGTGCACGTTAATGGACACCAGGTGGTCAAAATTTCCGGAGCCCTCCACTATACGACGTCTTTCATAATGATATGGTGATTTTGGGACGTTAAACCCCACATATAAGTCAATCGAATTTTCTCTCGCGGACAGCGCAGATTTTTTGTTCACAACCAAAAAAGCTGACGTCAGAATTTCAACAAAACAACCTCTTTGACGCTCTTGAATTAAAAGAACACTTTCACGGTTTTCTGAGCATCCCAGTATCTACCGTGACGCTGTGGCCGTGACCGCGCGAACGAGTTCAGTCGGCGAATCTTCGTCAATGTAAATCTTCTGTCTAGTACAAAAACGTCAATTTATATATTGTGGGCACTTGTTATTTACATTTTCTTATCTCTACGGGACCATAATCAGCATCATCCATTTGTCTCTCTGTCCTCCTCGTGAGCGTCTGCCATCATTATCTCTATCATGTGGGTGCGCACTCTGCTCGTTCGTTTTCCGAGGCCTTCCATGCCTTTATTGAAACGCCGTTGAAACCAAGACGTCATAATATTCAACTTACAGGTGAATTTAGCTTGTTTAAATTTTTTATAAATAAGAACCTGAAAGTCATATGCAAACTTAGTACCGGGCTTCGAAGTGGTGTATGCACATTTCTTTTTTTTCTTTTTTAGGTAAATTGTAAAACGTAGGTTAAAAACCTGCGACATCGTTTTATCACCGAGCTTCGCAATCAAAAAAGCTACATTTGAATTCTTTCCAGGTTAGTTTTCATGGATGTTTCTTGCTATATTTATCAAAACAAGACACATAGGAAATTCCACATATACAGAACATCTCCTTATCACAAATATTCCTCCTCAAGTTCTTTTTTTTTGTTAGATTTAAAAGACCACGTCAAACCGAAAAACATCTGCGCATGTAGGAAATCAAGCGTTCTCTTAATGACCATGCAAATAGCTAAGACTCCAAGTGATACACCATGCGGAAGAATGGATCACGGGCTCAAGGAAGAAAGCATAAATGGCGGTATGTCACGGATCAACAATCGATCATTTTGTCTTAGAGTTATTCTAGGCCTGTGGCCAAAACCCACAACGGCACCAATGGTGAGGCCACAACAAAGTGTCCCGAACGCTGCGTCGATTTCAGAGCTGCTGCAAGCATTCGCGCATGCACGAAAAAGGGAAAGAAAACACAGTGTGCGCATGTGCACGTAAAGTTGTGCACTCCACCAGAACCACCGACCGTGTGTGCACATGCTGAAATGTTGTAATTCTTGATTTTGCTACGAAAGACAACGATATGATATTCAGCGACGCCACTGCGGAGATACTGAAATTCGGGATTTTATTCGCCAAGACAGCTATATGACTTTCAGCAATGCAAGAGCAGAAATATTCTAATTCGTGGTTTTACTCGCCAAGACAACGGTATCATTCTGTACTACTCCAAAGCGGAGAAATTTTGATCGCAGAATTTACTTGCCAAGAAAACGATATGATTCTGACCTACGCCATAGCGAGTCACACTCGATTAATTTTATCAATCTCCCTATTGGAAGTCCTGGGTTGGTTGATGCTGGTATAGTTAATGGATATGGTGGAAATGGTAGTGGATATGGTGGAAGCTGTACTGGTCATAATGGCTGATGACGGCGAGAGTGTAAAAAATGGTGGCAGATGGTGGTGGTGGTGGCGAGCCAATGGTAGTGTCAAAAGAAAATGCCGGCTGATGGTGGTGATTCAAAACGTGTTCAGTGGATGGCTTGGTTAACAAGCTGGATGACGGTGGCATGATGGAAACTTGGTGGATGATGGTGGCATGATGAAAAAGCAGGTGGCAGTATGTGAAATCACCTAATTATTCGTAGAGTTTCACTCAAGAATGCGCAAAGAAATATGTTTAAGGTCAAAAGAAACCAATGCCACTCATTACGCTTTGTAGCACTTTTTTTCCTATGGTGTCAACAACGCTTCAATTTTCGAGAAGCGTAGAATGTG